ACCCACCAATAAGAAATGAGGAGTCCAGTGGAATCCATTGATGTTTCCAGTGGAATATAGCCATTTATTGGACAACCCTCTTATGATTTGGCCTATTGCTGCCTACTATTTATTTATTTATTTATTTTACTTTAACTTTTATGTTGAACCTTGGGACAGGGGAACTTTTTTCAAGTGGCCACTCTCAAGAAAGGGACAAGAGGCTGCAAAAGCTTGTCCACTCAATTGAGGTTCTGTTGCAGGTGAATTTACTGACAATTTTGTCCACCCTAGTAATCAGCCCCTAAATAAAGAAAGGCTAGGTGATATGGGGTGGGGGTGGGACGAAACTTACTAGAAATTCAAGTTAACAAAATAATATACGACATTATCAGGACAAAAAGACTCCAGAATGTACTTCATAAAGTGACTCTGTAAAGCAGGCAAAACTGTAGAACCACATGTGTTCTCAATATTTTATCAGGAGCAGACTTCTTGTGAAGTTTCACTGCAGCTTGCATTGCCTCAGAAGATAACTGAACTGTCATTGTGAAAATACTAATTAACTTGAAAAATTATCAACTCCACAGTATGTTTGTCATAATTCTTCTCTTTTAAAAACTAAATAACTGAAAGGGAATATTTCTAAACAATTCCAAATTTTGCTATGGTTAATCAGTTCCATTACAAGAAGAAGTTAACAAAATGAAAAAGAAAATAACAAACCAACTAACTCTTCTCTATTTCAAGTCCACGTTTCTCAATTATTTGCCAAACGTTGGGATAACTAGCCACTTTGAAATGGGCATCTCGCTAACATTTCTTCATCAGTAGTCAGAGCAAAGTGTACGAAAAATGCTTCTCATCAGCTTGCTTTATTTAATTTACAAACCTTACAATCACATACACCGGACAGTCTTTATCAAGGACTCCTTTGCATGTAAATGTTTGTTTCCGCAGAAGGGATTTGATTCAGCTAAAGCGTTATCTTGTGTACCTTGTTGCTGAAGCAGATATCGCTTGCGTGTAGGCAGAATAAGCAAACTCCCCTCCCTTTCAAGGCTTTGCTAGACCTCAGATTGGCGTTCAAGAGCAAAATATTTGATTTTACCACGCTTAATAACAATTTTAAAACCCGTTCTGTGCTGTCTTTCCCTTCATTTTTATTTACCTTTTGTCTCCTGGCTCTACTGCTCATGCTCAGATGGTCAACCAATGAAAACGCGAGTTGAAACGGATTATCCCAGAGGTCCCCGTTGCCCGTTCCGCTGGACAAAGCAACGCGGACTCTGGGAACGAGATTGTATCGATGAGTGTTCTACCAACTTTCACAGCTGCAACATCAATGCGGTGTGCAGCAATACTGTGGGGTCGTACGCATACACCTGTAAGGCAGGATATACAAGTCGCCTCATGCAAGGGAATCAAGACAGTCTTGGATTCTAGATTTCACTCCGTTGATTCTGGATTCCCGGTACTGGATTCCAGTCTTTGTCAGTGGAACTTAGATTCTAGCTAGATTTCGATCGCTAGTGGGACTCCGGAATCCTTGAGCTGTATTTTGGGTTCCAAAGACCAGGATTCCGGATTACAAAAGCAAAAATTTCCGGAATTCCGGAATCAGGATTCCATGGCATGGGGCGATACAGGCGATAGAAGGACGTGCCCTGGCGAGTGATTTTTGTTTAGACCGCGAGCAGTCTCTTTGCAAACAAAAACTGGACGGCTTTTAAGAGAAAAGGCGGTGGACTGCAAGCAGTCTAGTTTTTGCTTTGTTGTCGTTTCTTGCATTGGTTGTTTTTTTCTATATGCATTAAAAGCAGATATAAGTTCACGTACGTCTATCACTTACATTCTTGAGTTTATAATAATAAGTTTGACTGCTGTTAATTCAATCCTGTTATACCAAGCTATTTGCTTAGACGGCAAACGATTACAATAATGCAAAGAAGTGCTTTTTTTTTTTTTTTTTTGTTTTTTGCGAAGGTCCCCCGGGGGTCCCCGCATTTTTTTCGCAAAAGCTAAACCCGTTGGGTTCATTTTCGTTCATTTCGGCTAAATATTTTATTTTTTTTATTTTTTTGGCGTGTTTGTTTTATATTTTTTCATTCTTTGTGATGGGTGTGTTTTTTGTGAGTGGCGTAAAAGCATTTTTTTTTTTTTTTTTTTTTTTTTTTTTTTTTTTTTTGTTTTTTTTTTTTATTTTTATAATAAATAAATTAAATCTTTTTTTTCAATCTATTTTTTTATATGGTAAAATATTAAAATAATTCAAAAAAGTTTTTTTTTTTTTTTTTTTTTTGATGTTGACGAGTGCGCCCGCGGTACTCACGCAATGTGTACGCAACAGCTAATCCGATTGGCTTCATTTCAATGCATTTCAGTTAACTATTACATTTTCTTTAATTTTACGGCAGGTATGTTTAAGATTCAGGCATCATTCTAGGGTTACATGTAGCAGGCGTCAGGACCGACTAGATGGCAATGTCGCCGGAACCAAATCGGAAAAATTTCAAAACGTGTTCGTCCAAACTTTCTTTCTAACATTATGACATATCATATTTATTTACCTTAGCACCTTATGCCATAAAGGAATCTCGTAAAGTTCGATTTTTATGCTGTAATATGCTGGAAATATGTTCATCGGCAAAATGAATTTTGTAGTCTACTTACAAGAAGCAAGAACATACACAGTGGTGGACTTCTGTGAAAACCGTGGGCTCTAAGCTCAATTTTCTTTTTGTGGAGCCTTTAACGAGAGTCTCGACTCTTGTGCCGCGTCAACACTACTTTTTGGTTAGTAAAACAGCAGATTTTTTAAAATATCCTCAAACATTAGTTATGAAAGCGGAAACATCTATTTTTTTTATTATAAGAACAACGGGGCTGCAGTTTGTGTTGGAAGCTAAGCTTCCTCAAGGAGCACAATCCTTTGTTTTCTGTTGGCAAATTGTAATGGAAGAAATTAATAAAAAACGTTGGCAGCCTTTTTATTGGTCAATACGATCAAAATGCTAGGAATTCGACCTTGTGCTCCTTCAGGTCCACAAAAGACTCAGACGGATTTCATAACCATTTCACTCCATCAATTGTGATTAAACTCAGAATCTGCCATTTAGTGATATTACTAAAAACTCATCATTTTTTTCTCTAACTAGTCACTAATGAACCAGGATTTCGTCAACAGTAACAATTTTGGAAAAATAATGCTTAAGTAAGTGTAATATATCCAGTAGTAAAAATATAATGAAAACCTACTAAAGAACTTGGCCACCAAAACTTGGTTGCCATGGTTACGTCAATGTAGACGTATTCGTCACGACGACTTTCTAAAATAATTTTTAGGAAAAGCCACTAAGTTTAGTGGTTATAGCTTGAACGCTTTGGAAGTCAATCATCTTCAAAAGTTCCCCCCGGTCTGAATAGCTCATAGAAGGCCATAGCCACCCACTTTATCACGAGTATCAACTTAGTGATACATGACCTCCAACACAGTTTTGCGTTTGAATTATACTCTTTCAACGTAGGCCAGTGTGATTTTACTTGTAGCGGAGTAACTTCATTCATCTTTTGTTTTTGTTTTTGTTTTAGACATCGACGAGTGTTCTACCAACTCTCATAGCTGTGACGTCAATGAGGTGTGCGGCAATACTGTGGGCTCCTACACATGCGCTTGCAAACCAGGATACTCTGGTAATGGAAGGACATGCTCTGGTAAGTTAAATAGTGCTATTTGTAAACAAAGTGTTTATGCAAAGTTTGTCTTTATCAGTATATAAAGCAATTACCCCACGTAAAAACCCATAAAATCTGATGACACTATTGTGTGTAACCCAGTTAAACAGGCAACGATGGGTGTTCATAAAAAATACATCAAACTAAAAACGAAACTACACCAGATGAATTTCTAAAAATATATCTATTCGATAAATTTGTAAATATAGTTTCTTTTACATAAAGATTCGTAACGAATTTAAGGTGATTCCGTGGTTTTGCACTGCGCATCTCTTACTGCGCAAAATAAGATGGCCGCCGTAAAAAAGAGCATGTGAAGTAACATTATATAAATGAAGTTGACTGAAGAGAAACACTATTGGAATTTTTGTTCGCAGTTGTTTCTTGCCGAGGTGAGACTCAATGTGTTGGGAATGTGCATAACGTAAGCAGTACACGTGTTGCTGAGTTCGACTTCCTCACGGAGAAACTCGATAGTGGATGTTTAACTTGTGCTTACTCACTTTGATTTTCACTTAAACGCTTTCTTTATCAGATTGTGTCCTAAATGAGATCCCTCGATGTAAATTCTGTAAAAACGGATTTTTTAATACTTTCCTCCCCCTTTTACATACGTTCAATTTTGAAACTCGCCCCAGTCCTTTCTCAAAAATCGGAGAAAATGCATTTGGTGTGCACTTTCTGCAGCTCTACCGCAAAAACGAGCAGGGTGACCCCCATTTTTCATTTCATTATTTTAATAAGGACAGTGCTTCCTTTCGATGAGAAAAGAATTGGCACAAATCTATGTTCAGTTTTTTGGCAATTTTACTAAAGTGTACGGATTGAGCTATCACGGGTCGAAAAGCGCGTGTTCAATTTAATTCTACTTTGGAGCGTAAAGTAAAAACAAGGGCATTAAAAGGCATTTTTCTGGTACGTAAGTGGATAAACAATACATTAAAGTCAAATTCTGGGCGATAAAACATGCATCATCGAAAAATCTCTCCTTTTTGTGTGGTTTTGAGCTGCGCGCGGTTTTTGCCAAACGGTCCTAAATAGCCGTATTTGTCAGCATTGTGACGTCAAAACGAGCACGGTGACCCCACTTTTTATTACTTTTTTATCATCTTCTTGACTTGTTACATCAGAGTACCAAGTTTCATCTACAATCTATGTTACGTTCTTTTACTAAGGAATCACCTTAATGAATATTTGTGTATTGGTTTCTCGAATATGTTACCTCACAAGCTACTCCAAAATTCCAGTGTAAGCATAGTTCTAAGCATATCAAAAATTATGTATGTATGCAAACTACTAGCTTTAAAATGTTTGTAATTGTAACATTTTTGTATGTAGATATCGACGAATGCTCTACTAGCTCTCACAGCTGTGACGTTAATGCGGTGTGTAGTAATACTGTGGGATCTTACGCATGCGCATGCAAAGCAGGATTCACAGGAGATGGAAACACCTGCACTGGTGAGTCGTTTAAGTCTAATTTAAAATGTTTGTTTGAAATGTTTGTTTTTTGAATAAACCGGCAACAACGGCAATACAACATTCTTTATCTGTACCCTTCTTGCCCTTCAATAAAGTTTTGGTTAGATGGGAAAAAAAAAATTACAGTAAAAATGACCGCTTGGAGTAAGCGAACAGACAAGCGATGTCAAGCAGTCAGATTATGTAAGCAATAAAGTACAGGCGCCGGTTGTACAAACGCTGAATGGCGCTATCCAACAGGTAAATCACTATTCAGTAGATGAGTATGAGGTAAGCAATTGCACTATCCACTGGATAGAGATGTATCGACTGGATAGGGTTATCCATCTTTTGAGCAACTGGGGCCAGGTCGGCAAGATGCGCAAAGTCGTAAGATGTGCGTAAGTGCGATTTTTTTATATTTTTTGTCCAATAACTGCAGCAATATAGATTATTCAAACCTGCGATTATTTTTCCTTTTATCAAGCATAAAATAATTAATTCCGTTTAGCTTGTTTCCCCTTTGCAAAGAAAACGGTTACAAAGGTTATGATTACGCTTACTTGTATTGTCCCCTTTTGTAGACATTGACGAATGCACCCTCGGTACTCACAACTGCCACAGTTCACTTGCTTCATGTACAAACACAGTGGGATCCTTTAGTTGTTCATGTAACAGTCCTTCCAGAGGAGATGGCAGAACTTGCAATCTACCATCAGGTAATCAACTCGCCGAATATTAGGAAGATGTCCATTTACTAGACCTCTATTCGGAGATGGCAAAACTTGCATTAATATTCCATACGGTAATTATTATCACCAAGAATTAGGAATGTCTCTATTCACTAGACCCTTATTTACACTCGTTAGAAGCATGTTACTCTAACCTTGATTGTTTAAAGAGGGTTTCAGTTTAATGCAAATATTACCCAGATCTCCTGTCGATGAAGCCGAAGGCGAGATCTGGTCAATTAATCAACAAGAGGGAAATTACATTTTCTTTTTTATTAGCCACTTAAACGACCTATATACAGTGAGGGAGTGACATGAGTACTGTCATCAGCGCGCGCTATGGTTTCTGCATTTCTTTATTTACAAAATCTTTCTTTTCTGGTCGTTTCCCCTTTTGATTGCCTCATTACGACGCACGAATACGTGTATCGATCATGACCGGCTTTGTACAAGCCAAGGCCCATTGAAGAACAAGAGAATGGAAACGTTTTCTTTTTAAGATTTCTAATGTAAGTGAATGCTTGTATCACAACAGTTTATTTACTAGTGACTTCTAGTGTGTGGGGGTCGGATTGTCCATACATAGCCGGTTTGATTGTGCATGATACTCGTTTCGTTGCTACGAAACTAAAAAACTTCTACGAAGAGATTTATCTAGTGGATAGGGAAACTATCCAAAAAGCTACGAAACTTCCTCGAGGGTGCTAACGGGGGTACCCAATTCTCAGTCAACTACTAATTTTTCAGCCAAATATCAGTTAACTATTATTTTTTGGGCCAATTCTCAGTTAACTACTAATTTTGGTTAGCTATTAACTTTCACTTTCCTACAGCGAATATTATTCCGTCATAACTCGAATTTTCTAAAATCAAGGTATAAATTTACATGAATTTACATAAACTCCGCCACTAGTACAATTTATAAGTAACTGAAAATATAGAAAAGAACAAACAATTATCTAACCGAAGTAGTAAAAATGGGTAAGCGATAGCTATTAAGACCCCTATTATATTAACTGATCTTTAGATTAAGTCGTATAGCCATCAATATGACACCAGCCCCAAGGTCCAGACGCACCAGTCATGATCTCGTACTGATCTCCCCGACCTGGTCATGTATTTCCTGCCATAAACTACTTCTTCGTCACTTTCATTATCTGAAACAGTCTCGTGTACTTATCCGGTTGCTGTATGTCCTGTATCTTGTTGGGTCCTTGTTGTTGGCCTAAGTTTCAATCCATTTTCAATCCTTCAATTCATTGCAACAGACGACGGGAAAAATCAATGCCAAAATATACTCTTAAACAACGAAACTGAACCATTATTTTTGGAATTCAATTGATGCAAAAAAAGTTTTAGCTTTTTTAAAAGATAGCAAATAGCATGACATAGTACCTGTAGTGTCGGGTCTCAAGGGACTTAATGTAGGATAATTAGATGCGAAATGAGCGTTAACACTCTAGAAAAAGAAGGACTTGTTTTGCATATAGGACAGTGCTGAACGGACTTGAGGTTGATTCGCGACTTCACATTGGCGACGAGGAGTTCGTCTATTTTTTTTTTTTTTTTTTTTGAAAATGGGTGGTTTTGAAAAAATCCTGAATTACAAAACATTCGACCCCCACATGGATGCCACTTCGGTGGGTCAGGCGACGCGGGCCAAGCAAACCCCCAACCCAAACGGAGGGCCTCAATTTTCCCAAGGCCCAGGGAATGGAGGGTAAACAATCGGGCTCCCAAGGCCTTAATGTAAGTTAATTAGTAGGCAAAAGAGTGGTAAAAACAGAAAAAAAAAAAGACTTGGTTTGGATTTGGGGGAGGGTGGAACGGGTTTGAGGTTTATTTGGGACTTCAAATTGGGGACGAGGAGTTCGTTTTTTTTTTTTTTTTTTTTTTTGGAAAATGGCTGGTTTCGATACAATCCTGAATTACAGAACATTCGACCCCGACATGGATGCAACTTCGGTGGGTCAGACGACGCGTGCTAAGCAAACCTCATACCCTAACGGAGGGCCTAGATTTCGCAAGAGCCCAGGAAATGTCGGATAAGCAAGCGGAAAGAATTGAAGTAGACCAACAAAGCCATGGAACTGACACCAATCCAGAGGAGAAGTTATATCGCTCGGATAACAGGCACAGAGCAAGACGGCTGGAAAGGTGTGTTTTTCTTGTGGTTGAACTTTTTCGCACGCTGGAGGAAGGATGAAATGTCTAACCCGGGGGAAGAAATGCTTGACGTGTAACAAAATGAATCATTTCGCCAAATGTTGTAGGATTAAGGCAAAAGAAGACAAGGGTGGCTGAAAACAGTCGAAAAGGACTCGTATGGTAGCAATGCGGAATCCCTTTGCGGTATTTAGGAAGTTGGGGCGGTCAAACACAATCCAGGCCGCAGGCCCGTGACCAGTGTGACAGTGGAAAATCGTGAATTTCAAGTGCTGGTGGATACATGGGCCAAGAGGTTACTGGCCGATAAAGTGACATTGAGAAAGTCATCGAGTGTTTTGCGTGCATACCAATCGAACGAAAACCCGTTCCCGCCACTGAAGGTCATGGGAAAATTTGAGGCCATTGTTGAGTCGAACACTAGAATCGCCCCTGCCACGTTTCATGTTATAAAGGGACATACGAACACTGAGCCCTTGATAGGTTTCCAGACCGCGGAGGATCTTGGTCTTGTTAAGGTGGCAAACACGGTCCAAAGTGACGAAACAATCACAAGCAATCTGTTAATAGAGTACGCTGATCTGTTCCGCGGTATCGGAAAGATGAAAGGAGTGAAGGTATATTTGCTCGTTGACTCCGCAATAACACCGGTTGCACAGGCCCACAGAAGAATACCGTTCAGTGTAAGACCCAAGCTGGAAGCAGAATTGGAGAAACTCGAGGCTGACGACATAATGAGAGGGTAGAGAAGCCTACCAGTTGGGTGTCCCCTGTAGTTATAACGCCGAAGCGGTCCAGCAATGAAATACGGTTGAATGTGGACATGAGGGAAGCAAATAAAAAAAAAAGCCATTCCACGAACCCACACTGTCATGCCTACACTTGATGATATCATAAATGAGCTCAACGGGGCCACCGTATTTTCTCATCTTGATATGAACCATGGGTACCACCAACTGGAACTGAAGGAGAATAGCCGTGACATCACCACTTTTGCGACACATGGTCTCTACAGGTACAAGAGACTCAATTTTGGTACGAGATCCGCTGGGGAGATATTCCAGGAAACCGTCAGCAAAGAAATCACTCGAGACATAGTGGGATGCATCAGCATCAGTGACGATATCCTTGTATTCGGCAGGAACCAAAAGGAACATGATCAGAATTTAGAGAAGTCGTTTAACAGAGCAAGAGAGAAAGAAATCACCTTCAACAAAGATAAATGCGAATTCAATACGGATAAGTGCGTGTATTATGGAATGGTGTTCTTGAAAGAACGGGCCTCCCCTGATCCCATGAAGGTAGAGGCCATTAAACAGGCTGAGCCCCCACGCAACACTAAAGAACTGAATTCGTTTCTGTGTACCGTCCAGTACAATGCAAGGTTCATGGAGAGTTACGCCCCACAAACCGATGTTCTGAGGGCACTGGTTAGAGCCGACGTTTTTAAGTGGGAAGAGAAACACCAGGAAGCATTCGAAGCTTTGAAGAATGCTCTAAGCACTGATAGAGTTTTAGCGTACTTTGATCCTGCCGCTGATCATGAAGTACATGTTGATGGCTATCCCCTGGGGATCTCGGCGACGTTAGTCCAGCGCAGTCCGAATGAAGACCGTTGGAGGGTGGTACAGTATGCGAGCAGGGCGCTGTCAGACGCCGAGCGGAGATATTCCCAGATCGAGCTGGAGACACTGGCCGCTGATTTCGCGAGTAGAAAGTTTCACGTCTTCCTGTATGGCAAGCCATTCATAGTTGCCACTGATCACTAGCCCTTGGAGGTTATTTTTAATAACCCGAGGCATGCAACGTGTAAACGGTTGCAGAGAATGACTGTTCGAATGCTCGATCATGAGTTTAAGGTAGAATACAGGCCGGGGAAAACCAGCTTCTGAGACTACACATCAAGGCACCCCCTTCCTCTCGAGCAGAACTGCAAAAGGGAACTGGGCACGACTAAAGATGTCAGGCATTACGTGAATTTCGTAATTGAAAATGATATTTCAAAGGCGATAAGCAAGGAAGAAATAATCGTGTCAACGGGAAATAACAGGGAATTACAGAAATTGATTAAGTGTGTCGAAGAGAAGAGTTTAGACCATAAAGACGCAGACTTGAGAAAGTACTCTAATGTTTTCAACGAGCTGGCCGTAGTTGATGGGCTCGTTCTCCGCGGTGAACGCATTGTAGTGCCTCAGACACTCAGGGAAGCCATGGTTAAGATTGCTCACGAAGGCCACCAAGGGATTGTTCGTATAAAGTAGTTACTCCGTGCCCATGTGTAGTTTCCTGGTATGGACACAATGGTCGAAAGGCATGTAGGGAGATGCCGCGCTTGCCAATCTACCACGCCCTTTCACACCAGAGAGCCTCTGCAGATAACAGATTTGCCAAGGGGTCCGTGGAAAAAGGTCAGTGTAAATTTCGCGGGGCCGTTACGAAACAAAGACATGGCTTTGGTCTTTTGGGACCAGTATGCCAGGTATACAGTCGTTGAGTTTACATCAAGTACTTCTGTTGATTACGTCATTCCCCCATTTACGCGCGTGTTCAACACGCACAGAATCTCCGAAGAGATCAAATCGGATAATTGTTCCCTGTTTAATGGATCAAAGTTTGCGAACTTTGCTCAGGAACAAGGGTTCAGGCACCGAAAGGTCACCCCTGAGTGGGCTGAAGCTAATAATGACGAGGAGCGTTTCATGCAAACCCTCAAGAAGAGTGCAAGAACTTCTAAACTTGAAGGAAAAGCTATTCGGGAGGGAATGCAAAGAACGGTTGGTAGCTATCGCGCCACACCCCACCCAACGACAAAGGAAAGCCCTGACATCCTCATGTTCGGCAGAGA